AAGGAGAGAGCACATACAGTATGGAAGACAGATGAAAGTGAGCAAAATGCGCTTTATTTAATTCATTTTTCTAAGGAGAGCAGATAGTCCACCACTCTTCAATAATTTATTTGATGTTTCAGATAGTAAAAACTGACGGGGAAAAAAGAAAAGTGTGACAGCACATACTGCAAGTCCGTTTGAAACCATATGCAGTGGCAGTGTTTCATTGATTTTAATGGGACAGTATGATGTGAAAACATGACAGAAGACACAAGGGAGATAACCCAAGCAGCACTGCTATACGCTATTCCCAGCTGCGTGTGTTAATCCACTCAGCGATCACGGCAACTAAAGTTTTCTCGGTGGTTTTCATCATCGGCAGAGGAAAAAAAACGCTTGTTCCTCTCTAAGCTCTATGTGACAAGGAAGACAGAGCTACGCTGAGAGATGGAAATAGATCATGAAATACAGAAACTGAAATGATTTCCCAGTCACACAGCCACTTACAGCGAGGAGGAACACTCAGAGACAAATGCAAAAGTGGAATGGATGGTGAACAGTGATTGCATATTTCACAGTATATAGACATCTAAGACCAGCGCTGGAGTTGTTCAGATTTAACAAGGAGTGGTGGGGGGTAAAGTGCTGATCTCCTTTATTTTCCCAGAAGATATAACAGGCGAGAAGCTATGCATATATTTAATGAAGTGGAGATACCACCCACATTCATCCCCAACAAATCAACCCCTGGGAGTACAGTAGGAGTTGTTCTTGCCTTTCTTAAGTGCCTTACATTGAAAAAAGTTATGGTAGAAAGTGATTCCAACTGTTCCGTAAGCTGTAATACTACAGCACCAACCTTCTGTGTTACTGCACGGTATTGTGTGGGTTGCTCTGGGTATATTTCTGTTGTAGACCCACCCCGCAGGCTGAATAAATGAAACATGCATTGCCAGTCTGCCCATCTTGAAACACACACACATGCACAAAAAACACATATGTAAGCTAAACATGTACAGAAGCACCTAGTGGCAATAATTTGCTGTTACATTGTCATTATAAATGGGGAGAGCTGCCCTTTAAAATGGTAATTTGTGTGTAACCCTTATGCGTTTTTAAATGAATTATCATTCAAATATTGGTGCTAGGCTGCTGCTTTTTTTTTCTGCAACGCAATGTAGATAATTAGGACTATATTTAGAGAGAGGGCCAGCTCAGGAAATACACATGAGATCCTCACTTCATTAAAAATCAATTATCATAACACACGTGCCAGCGCAATACAGCCCACATGGCCACAATCCGCTACACACACACGCAAGTCTGCAAACTCTCACTGTAGTGCAATACATGTAGCGCACACTACAGCTACCTCAGTTCTCTTGTTAGTTCTCTCCATCTTTTTTCTCCCTCAAGAGATTGTGCGGGCCTGATCCTCCTCTTAGCTGAGGAATTGCCAGTGTTGTAGTCCCGCCCTTAGATAATAACCTCGGGATAACACTCGTGCTCCCGTTAGCAGAGGACGCTGTCAGTCACTCAGCTCAGGCTGCGTCAACTCAGGTTGGACAGAAGGCCCTCCCACCCCTGTGAAAGACATGTAGCTAAGAGCAAAATGATGTTGGGGGAAAAAAGAAACAACTGGGGGGTTTTTTTCCACTATGGTTTTGTTTGGAAATGGATGCCCGTCAAGAGAGGTTAGGGGAATAGCTGCATTAGAGGCCTCTCTCTGCAAGTGCTACTCTATTTTAGAAGTTCACTTTTTCTAAAGCTTTGAAGCTGTAAGATTGCTTCTGTAATGTAAAACCATGAAAACAAATACCCCCAAAAAACCATTATCATACATCCTAACTTTGAAAACAATGACAACACAGCCTCTTCGAAACACCCAACAGATAACACGTCTTAATTCTGCCGTAATCCACAGCTGAAGTGTAACAAGGCAGCAAGCGTGTATTGTTGACTGGATATGGAAGTGGGAGTCCTTTGGTAAACAATTCACAAAGCCTCCGCTGCTGAGAGAGGGCGACAGGATGAACACTGACGATAGAATGAGTTGGCTCCACACGCCAATGACATCACTTCCTTTAAGAGTGTGACAGCTTAGCACATTATCGCTGTGACAGCCAGACGACTGCAGCGAGTGGGTGGTCACCCTGGCAACAGCAATGCTGTCATGACCGTCTCCCTATATCCTACCTGACAGTCCCTGCTGGCAATGAGCACAACGTACGCTCAACAATGCTAACACACACCCACACACACGTATTCACAATCACTTTTCGTCAAACACACATAGACATGTACGCATACTTTATCTTTCTCTGCGTCTTTTTTATCAGTGAAACGCTCACTCAGACCCTCTCGGAAACACACATTAAAACAATGCACATGCCCACACGCACTTGCTCCTTTGGGCATAATTGTATGACAAAGATGAGTCCAATCTCCCATGGGGTGAAAAAGAAATACAGTGACGATATAATGTAATCACTGGAGAGAAACAGTAAACACACACTCCTCTAGAGTGGAAAAACGTAAAGAGCTTTTTCTAAAAAAAAAAATCAACAGAAACAATTAGTATGTACGTATATCCACACCAAAGCAGCAGCAGGTGTGGGCTAAACACATTCAGCTTTATCTAAACCCAAAGAGATTCACTTGTTTCATGATTGACAATTTAATCAAATAGTTTGTCCTAAAGTCTGTGATAAACAGTCACAACTCTAAAGCGAACAGTGACGCATCGTTGTCTGTTCATAGCTCATATGTGGTCTGTTGATAACAGGCATGTCCTGGGCGCAACTGACCTGTTTTTCTGACTATAAATAGCGTTTTTCAGGCCGCAGTCATTCACAGCTCTGTATACTGTATGTGTAGTCTGTGTGGCGTCCCAGTCCAGTGCGCCAATCTGACCCAGTTTGGAGCAAGTTGGCCAAGAATTGGTGGAAATGGGTCATGTTTTGTGTCGCACCAGAACTCACTGCATAAGCTACGCTACCTCAAGCACACAGTAAAACAGCATGTTGTTCCGTCCATAGGTCATTTATCCACAGACAGTCTACTGTGAAGGGCCACAATAGTCTATTGTTGAGGTACTATATGTAAATTATAATTTCACAAGAGACAATTAAAGAGGGGGAAGGCCCATTCACATCTTAAATGACACTATAAAGATAACTATAACAAAGCATGATGCAATAGGCCTGAAGGACGGTGCATAGTCCTGGATCAGACTGGAGCTCAGTTTGTAGTTTGTAGACATGTTTATGTCTCATGATGGCCACAAGGAGGCCGATAAGCACGTGAAAGAATAAGAGAGGACAAGCAAATGAATGACTACCATGTTACCTTGTGGATCTGTGAGGTTACTTGTTTCTATAACTGTTCCATCATTATCTCATTATTGACTTTTCTTAAGCCGTGTTGTCCAACAGCAGGGCTATGAATCAGCTGGCATTGGTGCATCAGTTGTGAATATATGTTTGTTTTAAGTCAGGGATTTAATGATACTTTGAATTTGAAGCAGTCAAACTTGAAGTGCAGGTAGAGTGTACTGATAGCAGAGACTGTCTATTCCTGCTCACTCGCTTAGACAACTGTCTTCATTGATCCTCATACGGGATTATCCAATTATATACTGTATAGTGCACACTCATTCCTCCACATACTGTATACCTGTGTAGTACACACACTTCATACTTTCAAACCGGAACAATTACACTTGCTCAAATGCACAAAAAGAAACAGATACAACTTCTAAAATTACACTTCAGTATGCACGAACATACACTCAAGACACACTCAGACATACAGGGAAACAAACACTTCTTCTCTGCAAATACCCACCTCTGAAGCACCAACTCCAGCTACACTTTGCAAGTTTTCGATTGGTCTTAAGGGGAATCACTTCGGCAAAATTCATGCAAACGCGCAATGTGAAACTGCAAAACGTGTCTGTTCACTTCTGCTTGGTGACTATTTCTGAACTTTTCAGAACATTCATAAAACTTACAGAATTTCCTACAGATGAGACTATGCAGGGAGATTACATGTGAATGGCTATTTCAGCTGTGGCTAAGCCTATGCTCATCAGAGGAGGGAGCCAGCTCGTAGGGAAATAATTTAGGATTAGATAGGCTGTCTAATCTCTTTATAGATGGTGTGCCATCTCAGCAGACATACCTGCCTACCTCTACATCCACCTCATATCTCTTAAGAAACTGTGGCTCTCTCTTTCCACATATTATGGATGAGCCCAAAGACACCAGTAATAGGTGCCTCTGCATGTTACGTTGAGATACTTTTTGTTCATATTCTGTGCCTTTGGGCCGTGACTGTACATGGAGCTGCCAATACACAGTGAGTAACAATGCAAATGAAAAGTAATTACAGTAAATTTGAACATTTGTAGATTAAGACAAAGCTAAACACTAAACGCATTACTTAAAAGGTTGGAGAACTAAACGTGTGTGTGTGTGTGTGTGTGTGTGTGTGTGTGCGTGTGCGTGTGTGTGTGTGTGTGTGTGTGTGTGTGTGTGTGTAATAGAGAGGAAAAAAGGGTTGAAGAGCAAGTGTGGTCCTTCAGTGGTGTAACCCGTTTTCTCATTATGGGCAACCTTTCTAATCTGCAGGGGTCTCTCCTTCAAGCATGCCAGGGTCTTCTCCTTCAAAAGAACCCACGTACACAATTAATACCGTCATTTATAGGTGTGTGTGTGTATGCAGTCTTCGATGTCCCAGTCATTAAAAAAAAAACTCATACAGAGGACATACAGAATGTCCAGATGTCACTGCGCCCTTGTGAAGTCGAAGTGGCACACATGCTGTACGCATGCGCATACACACATCGAGACCTCAATCAGGTCCTACAGCCAACCAGGTTATGTGCCTCAAATTAGAAGACCAGCTGAGCTCGAGGCTACTGAATCAGGTGTCGCTCTTAATATTGTGAAACAAATGTTGCGTTACAAACTTTGTTTTGTAATGCATGTCTTTTCTGCTTTCCTTTTTACTTACAGCCCAAATCGAAGTCATACCTTGCAAGATCTGCGGAGACAAATCATCAGGTATCCACTACGGAGTCATTACGTGTGAGGGATGTAAGGTGAGACTTAATACACTGCTTCATCAAAGCCCGTTTTGTTTTGTTTGTGCTCAGAAATTGTGCATTCAATCAAGCACATTCTGTGCTCTTCGGGTACCTGTACGTCTTTATTCATGCTCTTTGTTGACATGTGACCAGGGTTTCTTCAGACGGAGTCAGCAGAACAATGCAGCCTACTCCTGCCCCCGCCAGAGGAACTGCCTCATCGACAGAACAAACCGCAACCGATGCCAACACTGCCGCCTGCAGAAATGTCTCGCCCTAGGAATGTCCAGAGATGGTGAGGCCCAGTATAGCAGTATCTTCATCTGTGTTTATACAGAAGAAATCATCATTGAATTATCATACGTGTGGTACACACAGATACATGTACACTTAATATGCTGTTTTTTTAAAACTAAAGCTTTGCCAACTGTTCTGCAAAATTAGCTTTTAACTAGTTTGTTTCTTACGGATTTATACCACCTGAAGAATCTAAAAGGTTGTGACAGTTTTTTTCTATACATTTCATTTCCTCTCCTTGTTTTTCCTCCCGAACAGCTGTAAAGTTTGGCCGCATGTCCAAGAAGCAACGGGACAGCCTATATGCAGAGGTCCAGAAGCACCAGGCGCGACTGCTGGAGCAGCAGCAGCAGCAGACAGGTGAAGCGGAAGCTCTAGCACGCGTTTACTCGTCCAGCCTAACCAACGGACTGTCCACCCTTAACCATGAGATTGGGGGCACCTATGCCAATGGCCACGTCATTGAGCTGCCCAAGGCTGGCCATGGTAACGGAGGCGTTGTCCCAGGGGGATACTATGGGATGGATTCCACCCAGCCGTCTCCAGACCAGTCAGGTTTGGACATGTCGGGCTTGAAGCACATTAAGCAGGAGCCGGTGTATGACCTGACGCCAGTGCCCAACCTGTTCAGCTACGGAGGCTACCAGGACAGTCAGCTGGGACCCAATAACGTCAGCATGGGAGAGCTGGGTAAAGACTGCATTATATTTTGCTCTGTTTTCAAGACAGACACCATCAAATGGGTCATCATTTAAAATCTACTTAAATTATCCACGTGGAAAAGAACCCAAAAAGTAGTTCTAGTAGAGAGTCAGAGTGCTAATCTAAGGGCAGAACACAGGAGATCAGACTTACACAGCTAGCTGACAAGGTGTCACATTACTGTATGTAGCATAAATTAAGTTAAAATGAAGGATTTAACACAAATCCAAGGGAATGTTAAATTAAGCAGTAAATGGGTAGCGATGAAATATGCCTTGTTTATTTTCCTCTAAACTGTCATTATATAGAGATCATAGTCGCAGTACAGTATAAAGTGCACAATACACATTTGTTTAGTACATTACAGTGCTGCTTGACCCACCCAAACACACGTCACATACCACTGTATCAAATGTATAAATTAATTAAATACATGAATGACCGTACTGTGCAGAAATAAATAAATGAATAAACAAACAATCTTCTCTTCCAGACCGTATTGCTCAGAATATCATCAAGTCCCACTTGGAGACATGTCAGTACACAACAGAGGAGCTGCAGCAGTTAGCCTGGCAGACACACTCCTATGAAGAGGTCAAGATGTACCAGAGCAAGGTGAGATTTTATTTTTAGGACAAATCCAAATACAGTTCAACTCTCCTTTTCCCCCTTCTTTTAACATGGAAAGGACACACACCTGGCAATGGCAGTCATAGTAATAACACAAAATTGTAAAACAGGTAGTGTCTCCGGGACAACATTTTGACAAGATGAAAAAACAAGTCCTCGTAATAAGTAATGCTAGAAGGATGGCAAGTTAATTTACTGACATGAACAAACTGTAACCACATCAGTACGGAACACAAACCTCTAAACTGGGTGTGTTTGGTTCTAGCCTCGGGACGCGTTGTGGCAGCAGTGTGCCATCCAGATCACCCATGCAATCCAGTACGTGGTGGAGTTCGCCAAGCGCATCTCAGGGTTCATGGAACTGTGCCAGAACGACCAGATCCTCCTGCTCAAGTCCGGTGAGTTGATTGGACTAACAATGACTGGTCGGGGATATCTCTTTGTCATGTTAAAGGTCAGAAAATGTAGTTCAATCTGATTTTTAGATCAGCTTCAAAATCATCACAATCTGTCTCCATGGTTCATCCAGGTTGTTTGGAGGTAGTCTTGGTGCGGATGTGCAGGGCGTTCAACCCTCTCAACAACACTGTGCTATTTGAAGGGAAGTACGGAGGCATGCAGATGTTCAAAGCTCTAGGTAAGACATTATTACCTGTGCATTTCAATGGTATGAATGAGGGAAAAGGCCGGTCGAAATAATAAAAAAAAAGGGGAAATGGCAAAAAATGAAATGAAAACAAAATCCTCTACCCTGTGAGGTATTTATGCTCATCATTGCATACATGACCGGAATAAATGTAATGAAAATCTCTTTTTTTCTCTGCCCTTCTTCTGTCCTTCTTCTCCGTGTTTCCCTCCAAGGTTGTGATGACTTAGTGAGTGCGGTGTTTGACTTTGCCAAGAGTTTGTGTTCACTGCAGCTGACAGAGGAGGAGATCGCTCTGTTCTCAGCAGCTGTACTAATTTCCACAGGTCAGTGCACATCCCCTAATATTATTATGATACCGTGCATGCACAAAAGCAAAGCACTAAGCAGAATGCCAAAGAAAATAGTCATTCTGTCTACATATGTCAGTATCAAGCAGCACAGTTGAAGTAATTAAAAATATGTAGTTCTACAATTTTGTACAGCCATCTCTGAGCCATATCAACGTCATGAACATCTGTCCAATCATCACGTCAACTCAAAATTGTTTGAATTAAAGAAAAAATAAACACTTCCTTTCTCCTACTTAGATCGACCGTGGCTGATGGAACCTCGGAAAGTCCAGAAGCTCCAGGAGAAGATCTACTTTGCTCTGCAGCACATTATGCAGAAGAACCACATGGATGAAGACGCATTGGCTAAGGTAGGCCAAGCCTTTTTAGTGCAATAAATCACATCAAGGTAGCCCCCGAGGCACTGTCCTTGCACAGACAACAGCTCCTCTAGCTTTAAGGAGAGGTGGAGTAATGTGAAAAAACAAAACATAAACTCGTTTCTAACCTTGTCCCTGTTTGTAGTTTATCCGTCTAAATGTCCTTGTTCTTTCTCGTCGATAGCTGATCAGCCGAATCCCCACGTTGTCAGCCCTGTGCACGCTCCACACCGAGGAACTTCAGGCCTTCCAGCAGCTACACCCAGAAACAGTCAACGTCCTCTTCCCTCCGCTCTACAAAGAACTCTTCAACCCCGACCCCAACTCTGCCATGGCCATGCCCAAGTGACTGCCTGTGGTCCCAATGCAACAAACAGCATCAGCGGAGGACCAAGAAAATAAGAAGACAGCCACGTCTCACGAGACGGCAGCAGCCGTGTCAACTATGTCATCGTCGTGGCAAACATCTATTCCTGCGCTCCCCGAGCCTCATTTTGGGCTGGGGGGTGAGGAATCATCTGCCAGAAACTTACAGTTACCGCCAACAATACTAGGAATGTCAAGCACTTATCCCATCCTGTTCACCGATACAGTCTGAAGAATGTAAATATAAATGAAACTCACCCCGAGCCACAACGTAAGTGAGGCTTCCTCCCGTCTTCTGAACTGAACTGACTGACCAGAAATGTACAGACTTTAAAACATCTAGGAACAATTTTAAGCTGTCAATCTTTAAAAGAAATGGGTAAGTTAATTTGTTTTAACTTTGAAAAAAAATCTTTTTTGTTTGTTTTATTTTTTTGTTTTTTTCACATGAATAAGTTGTGAAGTTGAAGAAGCTGAATGGGGAAGGGAACTGTGGATTTAGAAAAGCTATTGTAGATATTCTTCTAGTGCAGAACGGATTCCAGTATTACTTCTTGTTCTGTTAAAATAAGTTAGTCCTAATTTAAATATACAGCAGTCCACCATGGCTGACTATACCTTGTCTATGTGTTTTTGTTTTATTTGATCGATTTTTGTGTACAGAATTTGTAAAGTTCAGACTTGTAAAAGAATATTGGGTAAAACCGGGAATCGATTCGGGTTTTGTTGATATATAGAAGCCTTGTCTGGATTTTGTTCATATGTAAAGAAGGTACTGCATCCTTCTAATGAGAACTTATAGAAATGTAAAGAGAGCATATGAAGGATTTAAAAAGAAAATAATGGCTACTACTTTTCAAGGTGAAGATATATACATAAATATTATATTTTCCAAAAAAAAAAGAATCTGGCAGATTTGCCATCTTATCAATCATTTTCTTCTCGCTGCAATAATTACGTCCAATTAAATGCTGGACTGCTTTCGAACAATCAACCAGAAACAACCAATCAGAAACTAGGACCTCATATTAAACCCCACCTCTTTCCAAGTTCCCCTCATCCTGCCCTTTATTTCCGATGTATTAGGGCCTTGACATGAGATTTCCGCGGACAGAACTGGATAGAAATTACAATGAAGAAGTGGAGGATAACAATTCCACCAAACAACAGATGACAAAATCAAACTTGAGTTCATTAACTCATAACTTTCCAATCTTCATAAACCTGTATGAGTGCTGTATGCCCTCATCCCTCCCATTACTATTTGCACAATTCAGTCTATGGACGTCAATCCCTCCAGGCTGTGAATATGAAGGACCCTTTTCTCTAAAGAGCAATAACTTTCACACTGCCTTTCTGATCTTACTTCTCTCCTTTCCTCCTCTTCCTATTTCCAGCTGTTCAGAACAGGGTAGCAGTTTGAACTAGAATGCACTACATTTGACTCCTGATCATAAATTATGTCGAACAATCATCTCATTCAACCACAGACTCTGCATTGTTTTCAATGTGACACAATATGATCTGGGGTCAGGAAATAGCACAGAGCACTGACTGACAGATGTGAAGAAATACAGATTAGCCTACAATGATCTTTAACACTTAAAGCTGCAATATTACATCGACAATTCACACAGAAAGCTGTGATAGACAATCACTTTTTTGCTTTTTTTGTTCGTCACTCCATAATCATTAGCACTTACAGATTGACATTTTAGTTGCTTTTTCTACATTAATGTTATGTTGATTAGCATTTGGCCACTGTGTAAAGTCACTCATTCTACTAGGCACTTGTACCTTCTAAGGATGTTCTCATCAGTGTATTTGCAATTCTGCATTCAGTCTACTAAAGAGCTTCCTTTAAAGTGAGCCATTTACCAAAATAAGTGACCCACTGCACAATAACAGCACAACATTGATCAGCTTGTTAGAGGAACGTCTAGCTGGTCTAAGACAGCACTTAGACTTTTACCTCTAATTTAATTACTATGATTAGTGGACTCTGATCTAGAGTTATTTAAGCACTAAAAGTGAAGATCTGTGTTAAGTTTTTGGGCAAATGTTCATTGCCCAGTGGCCAAATCTTCAACTAGCTCACAGAGCACAGACACAATCAGACTAGTTACGCATTCATTGACATTAAAACACTTGAACATTACCATTTGCATCCTTGCATGTTTTTTTCCATATGGTGAACAGAACAATGTCGGCAGCACGGGAAACGAGTGTCAATGCTAAACATTAGTGATGTGCTCACATCCATCTGATCCATTCACAGGATCCTTCCCTTGACCCCTGACCCGACCCCAGATCAGAGGCCAGTGACTCTTAAGACAATCACTTGCTCATTAAGGCTCGATGCACTACACGGCATCTCTCAGGGAAAAGCTCTTTTTCTGACTTTGCATTAAAAGAGGGTTTAATATTTTTGCAAATTTACAAGAAAAAAATGTAATTATAAAAGAATGACTTTTTAGGATAAAAATGTCATACGCCCGCAAGGTATGCTGGCAAAGGAATCTGCCCAGACAAGGCTTTGATGAGTGTGTGTATGTGCGCATAGAGCATGAATTCACTGTCCAAATCTCTTTAGAGCCCAGACTATATGACAAGCATTGTTACGTAGCACATGAAGAAAAACAAAAATATATTTAGTGTATGTCGGTGTGCTCTTGTCACCACTGTACAATCGTGTTTATTGCTTATTTTGCTGCTTTTGGGACAGCGAGGGAAGTTCACTGGTAGGCTATGAATCAAGCGCCATAACAACATCCCTGGGACAGTGAATTCCACCTCTGAATATGAAGTTTTTGTGTGTGACGCTATTATTTTCCCTTGTTAGACTGTGAATCAGAGGGATGGGATGGGGTTATGAGAGGGGATGTGCTGGCAAGAACGAGTGGCAACGCAACACTGTAAGTAAGATACTGTAGCAATAAGAACTGGAGGCATTTACTACTGTCATGTTTGCATTGTAAGATTATTTTTTATTTTATTACTATTTACTATTATTATTGTTCTTATTATGACTACTATTCTTCTATTACTATTAGCCTATTGTTGTTCTGTTCTATTTGCATGACGTTTCATTGCAATGAAACATTTGGGGCTTATTTGTGTTTTTTTCTTCTCATGATATTGTGAGCTTCGTGGGAGGGAGGGGGGGGGGGGGGGTTATCTGCAAGGTGGGCGGTGGGTTCAGGGCAAATTTTGCGTCAATTCAGTCAGTTCAAAGCAAATTCCTTTCACAAGCTGGAAGCATTTTTGAATAAAATGCTGTTATTTATACACAACCAATTTAAATTTTGTTGGTCGATTTGAAATATTTTGTTTTTCTCAACCTTTGAATGTGTGAGATCGTATGACCAGTTTGTGAACGGCCCTTTCTGAACTGGCCTTATTGAACCGGATCAGAGACCCTTAACCTGCAGTGGGAGGGAATGTGGGGGGGGGGGGGTTATCTATTCTGAATGTTATGGAGTAGCCTGCTCAGTGTGAGGGGCTGAACACATCATGCGCCTTTACCACTCCATCAACACAGAATGACATCGCAAAGCGCACAATAAAACTAGACGGCATCATACGTGACGACTCAGACAATTTGTGCAAACATTTTTAATACACTTGGTTTAAAATGCATTTCCTACACTTAGTAAAATACACTCCAACCCAAACCTCCTCCCTTTCCTGAGAAAACCTGTGTGAGTGTATGTGTGTGTCTGAGAGAGAGAGAGAGAGAGAGAGAGAGAGAGAGAGAGAGAGAGAGAG